TGGAGGTGTCATTGCTTTAACCCGTTGGTTCGAGAAAACCGAATCAGTATTCGAAATCTAGCAAAGTAAAATTTACAGCATGCACTTTCACAGACAGAGCCCTCACTTGGTAGAACAACCAAGTCAAATCATTGACTCTCCCAATAGCTAATGTTACGAGTCGGGATGATTTGAAAAAACTGATGCTAGTAGAATACTACCCGAGGGGCGAGATACAAAAACTAGAGTAGGAGCTCTGGAGTCTGCAGATGAAGGACTCTGATATCGCTGCTTACACTGCCAGATTCAGTGACCTGGCTCTTCTGTGTCCCGGGATGGTCACCCCGGAGAGTAAGAAGGTGGAAAGGTATATTTGGGGATTAACTCCCCCGGCTCAAGGGAATGTTATAGCTGCCAATACCCTTACTTTTGACAGTGCCAAGCGTCTGGCACGGACACTAGTGGATCACGGAGATCGCCAAGACTTCGTAGCAGCCATTCCTGAACAGCCCAAAGAGAGTGACACTAATCGAGGCTATAAAAACACGTGTTAAGTCTACGGGAGTGATGTGTTAAGAGCCCACGACGGTGGAAATCAAGTCCACGACGTGGAAATGTCATAATAGAGAAAGATGCCTCCAAAGAAGTCCAACAGGAAGAAAAACATCCCACCAACGAATCCACCACCCCCACCACCTCCCCAGTATGACCCTGCTGTCTTCCAAGCAGCAGTAACAGCCATCGTGGTTGCCGCCATGACGCAGATCAATGCAAGTAGCACTAGCGGGTCGGGTAGTGGTGCCAACCCTTTTAACCACGGGGATAGTCAAGGAAACCCAAAGGAGTGTTCCTATAAAGACTTCACGAACGCTAAACCCAAATCCTTTGATGGCACTGGAGGTGTCATTGCTTTAACCCGTTGGTTCGAGAAAACTGAATCAGTATTCGAAATCTAGCAAAGTAAAATTTGCAGCATGCACTTTCACAGACAGAGCCCTCACTTGGTGGAACAGCCAAGTCAAATCATTGACTCTCCCAATAGCTAATGCTACGAGTTGGGATGATTTGAAAAAACTGATGCTAGCAGAATACTGCCCGAGGGGCGAGATACAAAAACTAGAGTAGGAGCTCTGGAGTCTGCAGATGAAGGACTCTGATATCGCTGCTTACACTGCCAGATTCAGTGACCTGGATCTTCTGTGTCCCGGGATGGTCACCCCGGAGAGTAAGAAGGTGGAAAGGTATATCTGGGGATTACCTCCCCCGACTCAAGGGAATGTTATAGCTGCCAATCCCCTTACTTTTGACAGTGCCAAGCGTCTGGCACAGACACTAGTGGATCACGGAGATCGCCAAGACTTCGTAACAGCCATTCCTGAACAGCCCAAAGAGAGTGACACTAATCGAGGCTATAAAAACACGTGTTAAGTCTACGGGAGTGATGTGTTAAGAGCCCACGACGGTGGAAATCAAGTCCACGACGTGGAAATGTCATAATAGAGAAAGATGCCTCCAAAGAAGTCCAACAGGAAGAAAAACAACCCACCAACGAATCCACCACCCCCACCACCTCCCCAATATGACCCTGCTGTCTTCCTAGCAGCAGTAACAGCCGCCGTGGTTGCCGCCATGACGCAGATCAATGCAAGCAGCACTAGCGGGTCGGGTAGTGGTGCCAACCCTTTTAACCACGGGGATAGTCAAGGAAACCCAAAGGAGTGTTCCTATAAAGACTTCACGAACGCTAAACCCAAATCCTTTGATGGCACTGGAGGTGTCATTGCTTTAACCTGTTGGTTCGAGAAAACCGAATCAGTATTCGAAATCTAGCAAAGTAAAATTTGCAGCATGCACTTTCACAGACAGAGCCCTCACTTGGTGGAACAGCCAAGTCAAATCATTGACTCTCGCAATAGCTAATGCTACGAGTTGGGATGATTTGAAAAAACTGATGCTAGCAGAATATTGCCCGAGGGGCGAGATACAAAAACTAGAGTAGGAGCTCTGGAGTCTGCAGATGAAGGACTCTAATATCACTGCTTACACTGCCAGATTCAGTGACCAGGCTCTTCTGTGTCCCGGGATGGTCGCCCCGGAGAGTAAGAATGTGGAAAGGTATATCTAGGGATTAACTCCCCCGAATCAAGGGAATGTTATAGCTGCCAATCCCCTTACTTTTGACAGTGCCAAGCGTCTGGCACAGACACTAGTGGATCACGGAGATCGCCAAGACTTCGTAACAGCCATTCCTGAACAGCCCAAAGAGAGTGACACTAATCGAGGCTATAAAAACATGTGTTAAGTCTACGGGAGTGATGTGTTAAGAGCCCACGACGGTGGAAATCAAATCCACGATGTGGAAATGTCATCCGGACACCTTTCGAAGCTAGAACGCAAATAGCAAGCCTACGAAGTGATTCAGTCATCCGCCACGACGTGGACATATAAGCCCACGATGTGGATATGTTTTTGGCAGCCTATAAATAGCAAATTCGACCATTTCATTCCTTACACTTAAACTTTCTTTCTCTCTCTCGTTGCTGAAGGCGTTCTGCGTCCCGAGCCCGACGATCACGAACCGCTGACCGTTTCTAGTTAGATTCTATCAAAGCACACTACAAGTGAGTGCATAGTTACTTTCATCTTACACATATATATGAAGTATTTAATATAAATTACGTGCTATGTGTGCATATTATATGTGTTTATGATATCTATGCTAGATTAACAAAATGTACATGTTTTATTCAATTTAAACTGTATATGTATTTTATACCTATAAATTACAATGGGTTAAGATGGGTAGATGAAAGATGATATAGATCATGAGAAATGAAAGATGAGAATGAGAGGTGAAAAATGATGAGAAGCCTTGACCAAGCGTTGGCCCAATCATCTAGCAGAGTATGGATGACAACCACGGACTATTCTAGACAGTCCAGTGGAACACTAGAAGACTCGCAACCTATAGGTGTTGTGAACGATATGTTCACCCGTTGTACTCTAAAAACCCTGGCAGCTATGGACTTAGTTCCTTATAAACAAACATTGGCAGCTATAGATTTAGTGCCTTACAAATGAACGTTGGCAACTATGGATTTAGTGCCCTATAGATGGACATTGGCAGCTATGGACTTAGTGCCTATCAGATAACATCGGCAACTATGGACTTAGTGCCTGTTAAATAAACCCTGACAGCAATGGACTTCGTGTCTATTCCTTAGGACAATCCTTAGGAATGAATGAGTGAATGATAGATGATTTTTAGGATAGAACCTTAAGAAATAAAGAAGATAATGAAGATGGGTAATTGGGTTAATTGTTTGATGATGAAACATAATAACTTTATTATTGTGGGTTGAAAACCCTATGTACTCACCAGGTTTCCCAAGCTGACCCACTCAGTCTACTTGTATCACAGGTGTCGATACGAAGCTACATTACATTGAGAGATTAAAGGAGATATAAATCACGAGTGTAAATGAATGTAAGGTCTGTTTATGCTTATGTTTCTTTATTGACGATGACATCCCAAAGTTTTAATATAAACAAATTACATTTCTTCGGAAATGCTTTGATAACATATTTATCATGTTTTTCTGGGAACAAATTCCGCAACATATTTCTTTAAGAGATACTCTGGTTTTCAAAATAAAGCATAAACAAATCGGTCTTTTCTGGCCGTGAAAATGGGGATGTCACAGTCTCCCCTCTTGTGGGCTTGAGGAGTAGATGTTTCACAACGAGACAAGTTGCTTTGAATTCGTCGCATTCAAGGTGACCAAACACGAGAATGCATACAATGAAAATCAACACATGTTTATAGCTTTTGCACTTGATACTTTTGGTTTTTTTCGTACACGAGACGGTGGAGCTCTTCAACAGAGTTCAACGGGTCATACATAGTAATGTAATGTCCCCTAGATCTACGAGCGTTGTCTTCAAAAGAATTAGTTTTGTCATCCAAAAAAGGTCTAGCGGCACAACTTGTTGTCCGTTTACCTTTTGTAGCTATATATTAATTTTTTTATTAGATCTACTCTAATAAATGAAAATCTTTTTGTCACATGTCATACTTTCATTGATTTGGCCACATGTCATTTTGTGGTTATTTTCAATTAAATTTTTTTTCACATGACATTTTATGGTTTTTTCCATTTTATTAAATTACACATAATATTTAAATATAATAATTACAATAAATGTAATAATAAATGCATATCAATTTCAATAATTGACTTTCTTTCTAATTTCAACATTTTTAAATTAAAACTTCATTAGTTTCCTTTGTTTATTTATCTAAATTATTTGTTTAAATTTAAAAGAGAAAAAAAAACTCTGTAATTTTAATAATTCAATATTTTTCTAATTTTTCTTATAAATTCAAATTTTTTCAAATGTTTAGAATTTTTATATTTAATAAACTGATATAGTACATGATTCTTATACCTACCTAGTATTTAATATAAAAAAAAGACAAAACTTCAAAATGGTCCCTGTGGTTTCCGAAAATATCAAGTTTAGTCCCTAAGTTCAAAAAACCTCACAGATGGTCCATGTGGTTTCAAAACTTTTAACAAATGGTCCTTCCGCCTAACTCCGTCAGCTTTGTACCGTTAAGTGAGGGGCATTTTCGTCATTTCAATACACATGGACCATTTATGAGGTTTTCTCTATTTAAAAATAAAAAGAAAAAAAACTATAATTATTTAATTAAAGGGCCCCACCCTCTCTCTCTCTCTCATGGTTGAAGAAACCTCCACATGAGGTTGTATTTCTGGTCAAGAAGAGGCAACAGCCTCCCTCGTTCTCCACCACTGTTCCTGTCGAAGAGGCTCCACCCAAACACCCCCTCACAGCCGCTAAAAACCCCAATCCTATTTTCTTCATTGGCTCACCGGAAAAACGAAGCAGAAGAATGGGGACTGTCGCCTCTGATCTAACCCCCTCTGAGATGAACGAAACACACATCAAGAGCTTGTTTTTGGTACGTATCTATCTATTTTTCTTGTTGAACCTCCATGAGCATCATCATCATCATCGAACCCACCACCGAACACCATCCTCCTCCTTCTCTTCCCCTTCAGAACCTCCGTGTACGACGATTTAGACACAAATGCAATCTCTTATAACAAATTTAGATCCAGATGCAAGTATGTAGTGGGGGGATTTTAAACCCATATGAAATATTTGATCATGGGTTCGCTTTTTTCTAATTAGATTCGAGCAAATTGCTTTAAATGTGGAGGAAGGTCATACGATGGTCCATGGCTAGAAATTACATATAGTTGGGTGATGGAGTGGCAGTGGTTTTCCATGGGAATACCAACCAAGGTACAAGCCATCTAAGCACCTCCAAATCTTGGGTTTTTGGTTTCCAAGTTTTGATTTTGGTTACCAGATATAAAATGAAGATGAAGTTGATGCTTTTGGTTATCTAGCATAAACGAGAGAGAGAGAGAGAGAGAGAGAGAGGAGAGAGAGAGAGAGAGAGAGGAGAGAGAGGAGAGAGAGAGAGAGAGAGAACATTTAATATTATATATATATATATATATTAAAATAAGACAAAACTTCATAAATGGTCCTTGTGCTAGTGAAATGACAGAAATGCCCTTCACTTAACGGCCAAAAGCTAACGGAGTTAGCGAAAAGGACCATTTGTTAAAAGTTTTGAAACCACAGGGACCATCTGTGAGGTTTTTTGAACTTAGGGACTAAACTTGATATTTTCGGAAACCACAGGGACCATTTTTGAAGTTTTGTCTAAAAAAAAGGTTAAAACACTACTCTTTTGGTTCATAGTTAGACTTCCTTAACCTATTACCAAGGACATACCGTTATACTACAAATCGTTGGTTCAAATATTAAATGTGAACTCCAGAAATTACAACACAAAGTCACAAAAGTAACAAAACTATGGTAAATTTATTTTTATATTAGATAAATCAATTTGTACAGTACTTGAATTCAAAATCAAGTGAAGGTGAAGTCCAATTCAAAGTCCACGATCTTACGCGCTTGTCCTCTCTTCCATGCTATATCCTCTTTGAAGTTTGATCTCTTCAATTCTTCCAGACATCGATCACGATCTTACTCCCATCCAATTTTCAACGACACCCATCGTAGACTTTTCCTTGAACTATTCTTTAGTATTCAATTTTCCCCATTTGCCAAATTGCTTTAAATTCCGTTTCTCCCCCTTTCAGTTTCAATTCATTTAGATATTATCTCTTTAGCAGCCACAATACCTTCTCTCACATCTCCCGAATCGAAGGTTGTCTCTTCTTGTTCAAGAATCTCAGGTACTACTCCGCAAATTCACCGGTTTCATATATTTCTTGTGTTTGTTAGTTTATATTTTTTACTTTTTTTTTCAACACACCCATCTCGCATACGATCCATATAATCAGTTTCTGTGAAATTATGTTTTGCAGTATATGTTCTTAATTCATGTTGGTTTTGTCTCCTTCCTTGATTTCTCTAATGGGTGTATCCACCCTGTTTTTCATGTCCTTTAGGTTTAACGTTCGACTTCTAGAACATACCAAATCATAAAAAATTACTATAATCAGTTTCTGCTAAGTGTTCTTGCTATTTTGTTATTAATTCATATGGGCTTCGTTTCTTTTGTTGATTTTTATTTTGCTTTGATTTACTTGATGTACTTGAATGACCTAAAAATTTGGGAATTTTTGGTTATTTTTCTTTTATCCCCACAGATTTGTTGTTCTTGGTGCTTGCTGTATTTGGCTAACTGATGTCTGATAAATCAGAGCAATTCAGAGTTCGGTGCACTTAATTTGAAAATTTAGGAGTGCACAATATATCAACAGTATTATAATTTTTTTAAAAATTCACTATTTTCTTCTCTTTGTGATTGAATAATTGCACAAAAATATCATGATTCTTGGTGATATTTTCAAAAAGTTTCACTTCAAAACTACCATCTAATTTCTAATCTGATTTTTGTTTTTCCAGGAACATCGTGTGATTCTTTCCTAATTGAACCCTGCAAAATCTATAACAAGATCCACCATGTTTGGGATCAAGAAACCTCATTTCCATAGACCTACCAAACACAACTCGGTTGACCCTGGATTCCCTGGTCAACATGCTTCAAACCCATTCGATTCCGATGATGAAATTGACAAAAAGTCAACACCAAATCCTGCAAGGAGAACTTCATCTGAACCTTCTGTACTTACCCAAGATTCCCGAGCTGCTCTTTTTGATGATGATGATGAAGTTAAAGGATCAGGATACAAACTCAGTTATGCCTCAAGAAACAAATATAAGAATGATTTTGTCGATTCTGGTGGAATTGAGAACCAAGATGTACAAGAACTAGAACAATATGCTGCATATAAGGCTGAAGAGACTACAAAAACTGTGAATAGTGCCTTAAAGATTGCAGAAAACATAAGAGAAGATGCTACCAAAACTATGATCACTTTGCATCAACAGGGTGAGCAGATCACTCGGACTCACATGACTGCAGCTGATATAGAACAAGATCTTAGCAGGGTATCACTCTTTTCTCACTATTACTGTTATTGTCTATGCAAAAGACGTGAATACCCTTCTCATCTAGTCATGCCCTGTGTAACAAACACAACCTCAAAGAGTGCCCATAATCTGTAGATGGATTTTGAATTTATACTTTGTGATGCAGGGTGAGAAGCTGTTAGGAAGTCTTGGGGGCATTTTCTCAAGGACCTGGAAACCTAAGAAGGGTCATGCAATAAAAGGGCCTGTGATTACAAGAGGTGATAAAGATAGAACACTTTATGTTGATGCGTTTTTTATTTTAAAAAAAGATTAGACATTTTGTTTTGTGATCTTTTTGTATTGTTTTTTATTAAAAAGTTTTATGATTTTATTAGATGATCCCGCACTTCGAAAAGGTGCCCATTTGGAACAAAGAGAAAAACTTGGACTTTCAACCACCCAAACTAAAGGACACTCGCATTCAAGAACACCACCCTCTGAACCCACAAATGCATTGCAGAAAGTTGAGGTATGTAAAGATCTGGTTTCTTTCTTCTTCTATTTTAGTGTTGTTTTGATAAATCTTGTTTAAAAAATATTTGAGAAAAAAAAAAGGCACACTGGAGGAATTTGAAGAAGAAACTAAATAAGGGCAAATTTGTAAAAAGTTAGGATTTTTTTCCTTATTTTCTGTATTAAGTCATTCTTTCTGCATTAAGCCAAAAAAGAAACACTCATATATGGCTTACCGGACTAACTTGTTGTTTCTTTTTGGCTTAATGGAGTTGATGTGAAAACAACTTAATCTGGACAAATATATAGTGGCGTTTCTTTTTGAGTTAATATAAACAGATGGACTTAATGGGTGTCTTTATCCATTAAGACCGCATTTTATACGTTGCTACCCTTTCAGCAAACTCTCCTTTTTTATTTTTTTTAAAATTTATTATCTACATTGTTTTTAAAAGATAATAATAATAAAAACAAGTTATAAGGATTTAGAATTATTGTTGAGAACACTTATGTAGTATGAAATAACGATGAAAAATGAAAACAAAAGGTAGTTATTCATCTATTAATCTTCATGATATCCAAATAGTATAAAAATATCATGTAATTGTAAAAAAAACAAAAAAGATTCCAACTGCACATTTGATGTCATTCATATCAAAATCATAAAAATATGAAAATATCATGTAAGTTCTAGACAGAAGGGTAAAATGGTCATTTTTCCATATTCATTTGGCCCAAAAAGAAAAGTCTTTTTTTATACAGCACTTACTCCAGACAGACATTGATTAAGTAAAAAGAAAAAGATCAAAAACTTGTTTATGAGGTTCTGAATTCTAATAATTAATTTGTGATTTAAACAGTATGAGAAAACAAAGCAAGATGATGCCCTCTCGGACTTAAGTAACATACTTGGGGAACTCAAGGAAATGGCTGTTGACATGGGTTCAGAGATCGAAAGGTTTGTTTTTTTTTTTTTTTAGGTCTATAGATTTTAAAAGTTTGTGTTAATTTTTGTTACTTGATTTCCTGAAAATAAAATTGTATTTTGTGCAGGCAAAACAAAGCTCTTGATCCTCTTCAAGATGATGTGGATGAACTGAATTTCAGAGTTAGAGGTGCTAATCAACGTACTCGACGTTTGCTTGGAAAATAAATCCAATGTTATTTTGTTACCTTTTTGTATGATGTGTTTCATGTTACAAGATTTACATATGTATGCACATGATTATTATGCCATTGGAATTCTTTTACTAGCCATATATTGTTTACATATCTCATTTAAAGCGTTTGACATGTTCTAATTGTTCAAGGAAAAATAAACAAATAAAATAAGAGTGAGATAAGGTTATATGATGAGTCCGTTGATTAAAACCGAGTATTTTTTTTAAACCTTTAATAAACAAGGCAGAATATGGTACATAATTAGATAATCATAACTAGGAATAAGGAATTATGGAAGCAGCGTCTTTACCTTTGGGTGAATATAACTAAGAGTCTCTACATCAAACATCCTTTTACACATGATGTTATGGAAATTGAGTATTGACCGGTGTGTTGTTTCTAAAGATTGAAAGACTGATTGTTATGTGGATTTGAAATTGTAATAATCATATAATAATTGAAAAAGTCTCCATCTTTTGTTATTAGAAAAGTGGTGGCCTTGTGTCCAACTTTAGAAGACACACACACACAGAGAGCAATGCATGCCTAATGCCTTAACCTAACCCAGTCCCACACCCATCTTTAGGACCTATTGCTATGTAGCTTTAAATGCTTGGCTTGCAATAGCCAATTAGCTATTCACACTATTAACTGTCATCCTCATCACTCATCATACCTGCACCATATCAATGACTAAACCTTTGTTTTTTTTTTTTTCCTTAAATATCGTCTGAATAAATAATGTTTAAAAATATCTTAGAAAATGACAGATACGAGGGCAAAATTGTAAAACATTAAGACTCAGGAAGAACCTCAATTCTTCAACTCTCTGTTATGACATGTCTTTTTATATCATGTAAAAAAGGAACAAACATATTATCTTATAAGATTGCATTTTTCCCACTAAGGTACTATCTTTTTTACTTAACAAGCTTAATATGGACAGCTATATAAACGACTTTCTTTTTTACTTAATCCGGATATAGCGACTTAATGGGTTAAGCCATAAAAAACACGACTTAATCCCGATATAGCGATAAATGTTGATGAACATTTGATATTTTCTTTTTGGAATGTGTAAAATGGTTATTTAGGTTGTATTTGATCGTGCATAAGCTAGCTTATTTTTTGAGTTTATTGCAATTTAATGTTTGGTGAAACCCTTGAACGTAGCTTATAAGCTAGTTTTTTAGCATATTGCAATTTATTAGTGTTTGGCGAAACCACAAAATTAGCTTGTTGATAAAGCTAAAAACTAGTTTTTCAGCACATCAAACACAACCTTAGCCTCATCTGATTTAGTCAAGAATCAGATTTTACATATACAATATTTTATCCGAAGAAGCATCATTATTTATTGGAACCCCTACATACATGACTCAACAAAGGAAAAAAAAAAAAAAAAAAACAGATCCTAAACACCATTAAGTCAATAAAGAAATTAGACGTGGGTCTCTTTTCCCAAAAAGTCAAAAAAGAAGATTAATATTTGAGTTTGTATATCCAGTTGTCAAGCTTGGGTAGTTGTACATTGTTTAAAAGGAGTTGTACACTTGATGAGTCTTTTTTGTCATGTAACATCATGAATGAGTTCTAGTTTGAGCAACCCAGGAAAGGTACTGCTGAGATTACAATAAAATTCTTTATACAGAATTGAGAATTCCATCGGGGCCTTCTGCCTACAATTCAATATGCTACAGAAATTACCATTTTAGAACAAACATACGAATTAAGTATACCTGTAAGCTTTGGACCATAGCCTCTTTGGTCGTATTATTGTATACAAACCACCTCAGCCTGACAAATTCCATGGATCCCGAAATGTCACAGATACTAAATACCTTTGATTCATTCATTAAATGCGTAACAACCCAAAACAACTTATTTATGGATACCTTGTATATACATATTAGTCACAGACACCATCACCACCACCACCACCACCATGAAGACCTCATTTTCCGGCCATCAGGTTCTAGCAGCTGCCTATCTATGCTGCCTCATTGCAACGACGTTACAAGCTCCGGTGAACCATCGTGAAGGCAACCACAACCACCATCCTCAAGGTTCAAGAACATCTACCATGTCTTGCTATTGCCTACGATGTCGACTGCTGTTCAAGAATCTATCTGAAGAGAAGGATACAAGATTTGGCATAGAGAAGAGACTAGTTCCTGGGGGACCCAACCCTCTCCATAACTAAACCTCACGTAAATATTCTTCACCTTATGTTTCCCGACTTTTTGAACCATTGTTCTTGCTAAAAACCTGAAACATTACACTTTGCATGAATGAACGACTTTGGACAAAAGATACCAACTTTAATGGTTTTCTTTTTCATTACATCTGTACAAAGCCACTCATTCTTGTAAACTATAAGTGTTCTTTCTCAAGAAAAGTGGTTAATTAGGTTATGACTAAAAGATAAGTATGATGGTTCAAGAAGTCTATCACCTGGAACATAAGTCATGTAATATGTAGGAAGATGAAGTTTAATAGTATACAAATTAAGCAAGTATTCCAATCGTAATTCGTAACGTGGTTTTTCATTTCTTTATGCTTTATAACACATTTGTACTAGGAGTGTATATCTGAAACCAAAAAGTATCGGTGATTGTAGTGTCATCAAACTATTTAATTAGTGTGATGGGGAGTAATTTGAGACATGGTGAACTTAGTCTATGCTATATTGTGAGTTTGGGAGGTGTGGAGTGCACGTGTTTGTTCCCAAAAGGCACAACTTTTCCCGCCATTAACTGTCGGATATCTATATTATACAGGTTTTTCGGTTTGGCAGAGGTTAACTCTTCATCTACATTTTCTCTACAAATTATTAATTGTCTCGATCGAAAACACAAAACAACTTCTATGTTTTGTATCACTATTTTTGCCATAAATCGGGGATTATCCCAAACATGGTTTCATGCATGTAACTCAAGCAGTAGAGTCGAAGTTATAGATTTAAGAAAACATATGTACACAATTCCAGAATTGTCCAAGTTCATTTTGATCTTCATTAATTAACCCATTTTTTCAACAAAAAAGCCATTCAGCGGAACCGGTTTTTTTAGGGATTTGGTTAATGAAACTATAGTAAAACTTCAGTTTTTTCAATCGGTTACAATAAGGCTTTTTTGATACAGACGGTTATTCGAAAATTCAACTGTTAATTGTTTTTTTACAGCACTAATATTTAGATTTTAGCACGTGGTTGATGATGTTAAACTAAGTCTTTATTAATTAACTTAGCTCATACTAAACGATCCCAATTTTATTTGAGGGTTTTAGATTTTACGTTTGCTAGTTTTATGAGATGATGCATTGTTGAGTTGTCACAATGGTTGTTGAGGTAGTATTGAATATATGAAGGACAGATTTTTTTACATTTCATAGGAGTTTTGAAGTTTAGAGATATGATCCATATTATCAATAAAGAAAATTTTATCAAAAACCTTAAAAACTATATCTATTATTTTAATAAATTTTGGTTGGTTGTTAGACAAAATCATCCGGATCATCGGTATTTTAGCCTATTTTACTTTTTAGGTATCATACACTTCAAATTAGGCTAATTCTATACTACTTTCTCAATTGCTTCATATACCCCTTTATGTGAGTGACTGAGTATATGTATCCTTATGATTTGACTATGACTATTTATACGAAGTGATTGGTACATATAACTAAAATTATTATGTATTTTACTTATGTAATTGTGATAGAGTTTAATTAACATAATGTTTGAAATGTTTTTTTTTTGGAGCAACAGAATTGAAGATTTAAATAAATTCTAAAATTCAAAAGGTAAATTAGTATGATAGACGTAGACAATTTATTAATTAAACTTTAGACATTTGAATAGATTTTGAATATGAGCTTATTTCTAGAATTAGTTATGGACTTCGTTAATTTTTAAAGTATTCATTAATTAAAAGCAGGTTAACATAATTTTTGTTTAGGTTCATGTTCAATAAACTAACAAGCCAATATTTTAGGTTAATCTTTTAAATGTGATATTGGTTTTATTAACCATCCATCAATGCCTAATATATACGGTGTATGATGTTTCTCATTAGTAACAAACTATTAAAAATGCAACGATCTTATGAAAGATCAGTATGTAACTTATCTTTTTACCTATTTAGGATAAGAAGGCTATTTAGTGTATTGATCCAAAGAAGTCGATATAGGTATTCAGTGTTTTGATCCAAAGAAGTCGATATAACTTTTATCTAACCATTCAAGAGTATATTAATGCAAAACATTTGAAACGATATAACCATAGCCATATATGATCTTTCGAATCATATTTTGAATTCATATTGAAACTCTGAACCATGTATCAACGGTTGTGATGATAGATGCCTCGTAAACTAGCAAATTGGGGATGCAGAGATATGACTTTTTCTAGGTTGATCACCGACTCTCTAAATAATTTTATTTGTGTATCATTACATGAAAGAATTGAAATAAATTGATGTAGATACCAATTTGTAAGGTAATAAATCATAGTGTGTTAAATGAAATCATGGAAAACATGCAATTATAGTGTACTTATAAGATTTGTTACGAGGATGAAGGTATCGACAAGCTTCGGTGTCCAGAAAATATATATTCATAATTGAAAAGATTATTTTTGGCTTCACTGTGATTCTTTGGATAAATACACTCTTAAATGACCTTTCACACCTTTTTATTTCAAGATAAAGATTTGAAAAATCAAAAGAATTTGAAACGGTATAGTTTTCTAAGCATATGGATATGAAAATATGATCAGACGTATTCAAATGATATCGTTCCCTAACGATATCAATATTTTTATTCTTTATTTATTTTAGAGATGAAAATAATAATAATAAATTATTGAAAACAAAATTTTGTCCAACTAATTTGGTCTAATTTGGTGTTGTAGATAATAATCAAATATAAATCATCTCACTTACCAAAATAGCAAAGTCCAAGTTGAATGTAGAAAAAATAAAAAATATATATTTTATCAAGTCAATCAAGTCTTAATTTTGAAGTAGTCGTTTTAGGTATATAGGTTCTTGGGTGGTTTTAAACAAACATTTCAAGTTTGAAAAATTTAACCTATTAAATTTATGGTTGTAAACGAACTGAACGTTCGGTATGAACCGTTCGATGGGAAGTTCATTTATATTTGTTTATTTATTAATAAACGAACATTAACACAAATTCGTATTTGTTTAGTTAAACGAACGAGCATGAACAATAGTACCGTTCGTTTAAGTTTATTTATGTTTATATATATTCAATTATTTTTTTTACATTATTATATTATATGTTTGTTTATGTTCATATATGTTTAGTTGTGTTTTTAGTTGTGTTTGTTTATCTTTATTCGTTTATGTTTATTTAGCATGTTCACGGACACAAACGAGCGAATATAAACAAAATAATTTGTTAAACGAACGAACATGGACAAGAAAACTTGTGTGCTTATCTGTTTGTTTGTTCGGTTAACTTAAACGAGGATGAACATGTCCGTTCAGTTCATTGTTCTACTTAAACTTTTTACATGAAATTGTTTTTTGAAATTTGCAAATAGTTTGTTAATTTTTTATAAATTTTTTAATTTGCTGATTTTTATTTTAACATAGGTACCTAATTATGACGGTGTATTCCACTGTAGCCGACCATCATTTGATATTTCATAAAGTCGTCAAAGTTTCAATGACGGTATACATCCAAATCAAAGTTTACCGAGTTGTCGTGATACCATTTCATATAAAAATAGTTTTTTGCCCAACTCATAAAATGGTTAGATAACAAATAGAGTCGAATTTTATGTTTTAAAAATCATCAAAACAAACAAAATTATCAAATGAAGAAATCATTAAGCACATGTAGTTAATTCATTCAGGAAAAAAAAATCACAATGTAGAAAAGATGAACAAGGGAAAACATAGATTTCCTGGGCGAATTGAACATCATATATCCATGATTTATAAGCAACTTCTTGCCATAAAATAAAGCTTCAGAGACTATGGATTAACCATTATTGAATTCAGTTATAACCCTAAGTAACGTAAAGTGGTTTTGAAACCCTAACAACACATATAAATACCATTCAAATCGATCAATGCTTGATGTCCATGATGCTTTTGAGTTTGGGAGAGTAGAATGAGTACACAAGAGCTTGTCTCTTGGCAACCTGTAGCTGATAATTTCCGTCGGCGAAAGCAGCGGCGACCGAGGAAGGGTTAGACAGAGTTTTGTTGCTGTGAAAAGCGTCGATGGTACGGCGCTTGGTGTACTCCCTGATGTTGTAGTCAGGGAACTGACGGGCTGATCGCAGAAATGACCGGAAAAGGGACAGAACTGTCGTTCGAGACGGCGGTGGCACGGCCGTTGCCATATTTTTCCTGAGAGAAAGAGCGTCTATTGCCGTGCCATTTATGTTAGAGAAACTAATTTCTTTTCCTCGCTGTATTTTAATTTGATACTAATTTTTTTTTTCCAATCTATTTTATTTTTGTCGTCATAAAGGGTAAAATAAAATTAATGTTTGAATCCAATTTTATTTTACACCCTAAAAATAAAGAAACAAATATTTACTCTCGAAATTTAAAGTATAAATTACACCATCTTGGCATCTTCCATGCAATTTATTTTTACGCTTTATTTTTAAGATGTAAAACAGAATTTAGAGTGGGTTTAAAAATTGTTACTATAAACTTTATTTTATATTTTAAAAAAGTATAAAAAATATGCTTTTACTAGCTTATAGATAAATTGATAGAACTTTTAGGGCTAATTACACAATTGGGTAGTGTATAACAAAATATCCTTGTTTATTTAATTTATGTCAAAATAACCAATAGCTTTTTGGTTATTTTGTATTAAATACAATATTTAGATATATATATATATATATATATATATATATATATATATATATATATATATATATATATAGGAGTAGGATCAAATGAGAACACCTAAAAGGTTGAGAACGGGAGAACGGATCTGGACCATCAAAATATTCAGATCTTAGGCTATTATCAAACGGGTCATTTACGTAAATTCTAAAACCATAGGTATTAAAGTGTAACTTGTAAAAGGTCACAAGGCTATAATGGTAATTGTAATTTTAACTTGTTCCTATAATTTCTCAATCACATATCATATTGTCGTTCAAATTATTTGTCCCCCACTTCATTTCTTTCTCTCTCTCTCTATACCTAGGTTTTAATCAATTCCTCCCTCAGCCTCCTCCATCGCACATCGTTTGAATCAATCCTAATCGGAGCATCGCAAGTCTCCACTTCGATGCGTTTTTGGTTTAATTTTCCCCCATTGCACCATCACTACCCATCTACGCAGCCTACATCACAGGTCGATGAAAGACGTAGGAAGGAAGTGAAGGCAGTCGGCGACGTCTGTGGTCGGCCGTCGTGATGGCGAGGGGAGCGTCTCCGTGGTCGACGAGGCTGAAGAGGAGGAAAGGAGGAGGCAGCGAGGGGTGGGTTGTCGGTCTCGGTGGATCGAAGATGGGGCACCTTTGGTGATTGGCTGGATCGAAAAGAAGAAGAAAAAAGAATGGAAGCAGCGGGATGTGGGGTCTGCCATTGGTTTCCGGTGACAAAGCCCCGATATTGGGTTGTTTGGTGATCGAGAAGGGCAGCAACGATTCAAAAATAGGTAAGGGTTCCTTTTTTTTTTGTTCTTGTTTGATTTGGCAGAACTCGATAGGCTCAAGTGGGTCTTTGAAGGCTCAAGTGGCAGCCCTTACAATTGATGGAAGAGATAGCCACACAAAGTTGTAATCAGATTCAAGGTAAAAGGTTGTGCACATAAGCTGTTTGATGATATGCGTGAGAGGGGTATTCATTTATGAATACCAGGGTATTCATTTGTTAATAACAATGTATTCATTTGTAAATAACAGTGTAATCATGTGTGAATGAGTGTATTTTATTTATGATTAGAGGTATTGTTTTATTCATTTGTGAATACCAGGGTATTCATTTGTTAATAACAATGTATTCATTTTTAAATAGCAATGTAATCATGTGTGAATAAGTGTATTTATTTATGATTAAAGGTATTCTTTTATGAAGAAATTATAATTTTTACACCCCTTTTATTTTCAGTTGATTAAAAGAAAGGAAGTAGATTACTTATAAATTGATATGTATTCATTTGTGATTGCAGTAGTATTAGTTTTTTTGAAAAAAAATCGTTTATGAATACAAATGTATTTATTTGGAGTTGGATTTCTATTAATTTTTTTGAAAAAAAAAACGTGAAATATGAGAAAAAAAAAATTAAGAAAAAAAATTAAAATTTTTTAGTTTTAATTTTTTTTTTTTTTGATAAAAATGTTTTTTATATTTCATTAATAAGAAAAATAAAAAATCAAATATCTCCTTTTTTGGTAACTGATCTTAAATTTAAGGGAATTTGATTGATTTTATTTTATTTTAATTTAATTAAAATATGCAATTACTTATATGCCCTTATATATTGATTGGTCTAGAACTGTTCTCGCGTTCTCAACCTTTTAGGTGTTTTCATTTGATCATTTCCATATATATATATATATATATATATATATATATATATATTTCATATCTTAACTAAATATTCATTTATAAAAATAGAAAACATCTACACAATTTCATCACATTCCAAGCTAACCATACTGTTGTATATTGTAACGTACTATTAATTATGAAATTTTCATAGCTGAGGGTGGTCAAGTGTCATTTTTTTAACCCAAAGGGGACACTTGGACCACAACAGTTTAAACAAAGTGGTTCAAAGTGGAACTTATCAACTTCACAATGCTCTTTCGCAATTGCAAAGCTCTTCTACACTTGAACAATTTTTTCATTATACATATACAGGATGAGGATACATTACAAACATCACAATCACATCACCAACCGTGTCAAGGTACAACCCTTAATGCGTCATTTACAACCTGACGCCTGGAAGTTGGGAAACTGAATGAACTTGATGGTCAAAGGAGCAATGGAAACTGGAGAATTCACATTCACAAAAGCAGGTTTCATTTGTGGGATTTCTCCAGTTTTTGTGACCATTAATGGAATCCCATTCAAAAGCATTGTTTTACTTTTAATATCACCTCCTTGTGGTGTCAATCGGTATTCCTCTCGTGTAAGTTTTGCATCGGTTGACTTTGACCCGATCCATGAAAAGGTTGACTTTAGTTTATGAAAGAAAGACACTTTTGTGACTTTTGGTGTAAGCAAATTCGTGTTCAAGATGTTGCGAATAGCGAGTCTGAATTCTGTTTGGTTGCTTAGGTTAATCAAAAGCAATGTTATGCCTGCCTACAACAACAACAAAATATGATATTAGGATGAGAAGGGTATTTCTGTCTTTTGCACACCATTTTTACAAGATCATAGCGAATAAAATAAATAAATAACTTACTTTCCCTTTAGAACAATGGGCATAAGTGCGCAAATGTGGCCCAACACTTCTCCTTTCTACAGAAAGAACCCCTGTCCCCATAAGCCGATGCCATAGAAGTGCACTGCATGTTTTAATAAAACAATGTTACTCATAAGTTTTATAACATAAACATGTTGAAAAATATAAAATTAAACTAAAATCACCTGTAATAATCAGGATTAGGTGCAAATGTTGTTTTGCTAAGAAGACCATAATTTCCACCAATTAAACTTTGGCGACAATATACTTGTGTGTGGAACTTAGCTGCCATTGCAAGCTGATCCAAGTACCTATAAAATATTTTAGTAATTTTTGATCTGGGATTTTACAAATATGCCCTCATATATATATATATATATATATATATATATATATATATATATATATATATTTACCAGAAGCTATTTACAAAGGTGTCTGAAACATGAAGACCACCACTGTTGTATGCTCCACCAGATTCCCCGATCCAAGAAGATGCCCACGGGCCATTCGTTTTAATGATTTGATGGAGATCACTGAAAGTGATAGATGCCCTACTCAAAAAATGGGGATCCAAAATCTTTTTCACTAGATTCGGATCAATTCCTGGATATATTTATATACAAATGAAACTCATTGGCATTATAAGTCTGTCATGTCATACATGACCAAGGGGTAAAGATGTAAATTGAAATTACCTGGCCCAAGGTTATACATATGGAGTGTCATGACATTGACAATTTGTGAACCTGTTTCCTTAAGAAGCTTTGCAAACCATTCTTTATCAAAGAAACCTCCAGGGGCTACAAGTAGTGGTTTTGGTTGGATTCGTCTGTATAGATTGTCAATTATACCCCTGAGTTCAATTAAATCGTTCCCATACTGTTCAGCATGGACCATGGCACCAACACCATTACCACTCAACTCATTACCTACACCAATAGTAAATATTATATGAATGTACATATATCATACATAAGTAAAAACAAATTTAAGGATTTGAGATTAATGAAGTACCAAATTCCCATGAATGTATTTGATATCCCTTGGAAACAGTATACTTTATAAAATCATGGGCATTACTGGAATTCCAACTTCCTCCCCAAACCCCCTTCCTAATCTGGTGTCTTCCCCGAAGTGCATTTAAGCCAAAGGTGACAAGTGATCTACAAATACAATCAACAAGTTCAATTTCTATCCAATTAATGAAACACAAGTTTTTTTATAAATAAAAAATATATATGTATCACCTTGTCTTGACAAAAAACTGATTCAATTCGTCCCATCTATCCATACGAAGACAGCCTTTAGAGAATCCAAATAATCCCCATTTCAATTTTATAAAGGGATGACAAGGACCCGAGATACCCCCCACATCATACACCACTTGATCTTGTAAGGAACCTCCTACTCGAATTCTTAGATGTTCAAATGCTGTTTAAGTCATATCAATAAAACAAGTGAGCAAAAATCAAGAACAACTTCTTGCGATTGGACTAAAAAAAACAAACCTTGGACTGCTTTTGTAAGAATCGGATTAGATAAATCCTGAAAATACGATACCATGGAAAAAAGAAATTATTTTCTATCTTTTTTTTTTTTCTGTTGCGGATATGGAAAAGTTTGTGATGTGTTTACCAGATTTAGAGCAGATGACGACCCCCATGGGCAATGATTGTAGTTACACTTGTCATCAGGCCACCAGTCGATAGTAGCACAAATGTAATTTGCATCCGTATGTGATATTGGTAAAGTTCCATTAATTACAAGTTCCGACTCTTGAACATATTGTCCCGAAATTGCAGAAAGTGATGCCAGAAATAGAAACAATGATGCGAAAAACTCCATTAATGGTTAAAGAACTTGACTTCTAGCTCAGCCTGGTTACAATTTAGAGCAAAAAAGAAGCTGTTAGGATGAATACAGAAGAGCAACAGTGTATACTGCTTGAATGGCCGTGTTGATACCTTTTTAAGGAATTATACTTGCCTTTTGTTAGAAACAAATCATAGTGTTCTTTTGTAAAAGTGTAAAAAAGAAAAGAAAAAAAAAAGTGTACATCTTACAAAAATGAATTGTTCTTTTCCTTTACATATCCGTAATTTGTGCAAATTTGTTCTTTCCAGAGAGCAATTTTCTTGATGTGTTTAACATTTCGAGCAAAAATCACAAAAGTAAAAGCTAAGCAACCGACACCATTATTGTTTAAACGAAACCTGCTTTGTTTGAATTTCACAAATCAGATCCCAAGATTAATAATATTCTAGAACGACAAACGTCAAAATGAGATTCTCCGAGACTTAAAAAAATCAATTTTCACATTCTCGTGAAGATATGAGGCGAAATTGAAGGAACTAAAAAGTAAAAATCCCAGATGGATGTGGTTGAACTAACCTGAAAGCGATTATAGATTCAAGCACCGAAGAAGTAGTTCAACAGCTTAACTACAACTACACTCCTCGGAAAGCAGCTTTTGCTCCGGATTCCATAGGCGGTTGTTGTGAATGAACACCCGTTTGCAACTTTTGAGCTACTTTCTTTTGAATTGGGGATGAGATGAGCTGTTTGTCAGTTCATTTCACATGTTTTCAGAGTTGGGTAATGAATCTTTAATGTGTGTACTAGTGTGATTTAATGGAAAACTTATGAGTAGAAAAGAAACAATTTTTTTTTACTGTGATTCCTTTTTCATGCAATAAGAGCACTTTAATCAGAATTGTCGCCATTATTATATTGCAAGAATGTAATGATTTCGATAAAACTAAAAAAAAACACATAGGTAGTGGGTATATGTATAACCCTAAAATGACATCAAATCAAATCCAGTCTTCTGTTTCTATATTTGGAAAAATCAATTTCACAAATTATTTCTTTATTATTTTTATCATTTAACAGTCATCTGTTTTTTTGTTCTCATAAAACTATTGTAAACATAAATAGCTAATCACTGGATTCTTTAAAGATAATATTGGCTCACTTTCCGAATCAATATTTATCCTCTATGTCTAGGTTACGAGAAATTCGACATTGGATAATCCTCAAATGAACAATCAAGATTCGAGGCACAAAAAAAATTGATCAAAAACGAGAAAGAATATGGTGTGTACTTTTCATAAGTTTCAAAAGAACATGGTGTGTACTTTTCGTATGTTTAAGAGAGAAAATCGGATATCTCTTAATATTCTAACAACTTTTGGATAAGACAGTTAAGGGTCGGATAATCACACGAATTTACATTGAAACCTCGAAAATTCAAGAATTTATATTAGGTTCCTCTACTAATTTCACATTTTCCTAACGCGCTGATCGGCCACCAAGGGGCGCTGCCCCTTGGAACCCCGAAAGGGGGGTGTGACCCCCGCTCTTTTGTTCGTACCGGGATCAATCTAGATCAATACAAATGTGCACACCGCATATCCAGCCTTGTATTAAAACTAAAGCATGATCCCCTTTGAAACATGTATAAATCACATTACATAAAATGAATCGATGACACTAAAATCACTAACAATCCTTCCTCATTTTGGTGTAACCATAGACTTACACAAAAACAATTTAACACACCAAAACTTGCACATAAACGAAAATGTCTAATTGATTGAATTTTCATATTAGTATTTTACACATTTCAATCATCCGAGAATCGGGGTGTTCTAAGGTATGAACTCGTCAACCCAATTGAGTACCTAAAGATAAAAGACATACAAGTTTACAATTCTCAACTTGTCTAAATAACCTGACACTATTATTAAGCCGTGTGTCCTAATCTTCTCATGACTATATAAAGGCAAAGTCCACAACCTTTTCAAGCGCGACTACACTTCACAATCAAATAGGTAATTCATTTATATCATATACCCACAATTGTCACACCCCCAAACCAGACGGCGGAAACGTCCGGGGGCTTGGGGGACTTTACTCTTGCAGTATCATCACAGAGTATATAATTGAAACATAACATCATCATCATCACACATGTAATATTACAATTGTCATTGGTTTACATCAATTATTGTATTTCAATATTACATGCCAAAATAGTCAGAGTATGATGAAACAAAATATAACAAAATATCCATGATTTCTTTCTGCCCAACCTGCTCAACGGTTTCTTGAGAATACAAGTTAATTTAAAAGGTCAACATAAAAATGTTGGTGAGTTTATAAGCATGTTTGAGAAAATGATTTGTATTACTTTGTAAACACCAGAAAATTCGATATTTTCTGAAAAACTGTTTGATATGTTTGTGCCCGATCTTGTATTATTGCATGTATGTTAATGTTTGCTAGAATGTAAAGAGAGTATGGAGAGAATAACTAGGGGTGCAAACAAGCCAAGCTACTCGTGATCTACTCGAGATCGGATCGTTAAAATCTCGACTCGAAACTGATTTTAACCGAGCCCGAGCCGAGCTCGAGCTTAATATTAAGCTCGTTTATTAAACGAGCTCGAGCTCGAGCCCATGCCACTAAGCTCGATTAGGCTCGCGAGCCTAAACGAGCCTTTATATAATATAATTTATTATTATTTTTATATATTAAAATAAAAACATATTTGGGGATTAAGGATTTAGGATATTAGTAAACGAGCTTTTTAACGAGATCAAGCCAAGCTTAAGCTTATTTAGACACATCAGACAAAAAACGAGTCGAGCCCGAGCCTGAGTCGAGCTTGTATAATTATTTACGAGCTCTAGTCGGGCTCAGTACAAGAAGCTCGAATCGAGCCGAGCTCGAGCTCGAGCCTCGTATAACTTAAACGAGCCCGAGCCAAGCCTGACTAGGCTCGGGCTCGGCTCGGCTCGTTTGCATCCCTAAGAATAACAAAGAGAATATAAAGAGAATGACCCCAGACAACCCGATGTTGTCTGCGAAAGAGAATGCTGGCATCTCAACCCCCGATGTTGAGTACCGTCACGAGTATGTTACCGAGTAATCCAAAGAGAAAAGAGAATATAAAGAGATTGACCCCAGACAACCCGATGTTGTCTGCGAAAGAGAATGTTGGTATATCAACCCCCGAGGTTGAGTACCAGTGCGAGTATGTTACTGAGTAATCCAAGAGAAAAGAGAATGGTTTTCCGTAAATTTTATAACATTAATTCCTCTAAGTGAGTCGTTATAACCATACTAGATATTGACAATTTCGCCTGTCTTAGCGTTTATGGACGCCGACGGAATAGAATAAGGTTTTCGTCACCCTAGACTAGTTTAGTCTAGCTGTAGCGAACAGCTCAGGTGTGGGGTGTCATCCCCGTATAGATCTATACACAAATCCCCGCTCTCCCTCCTAGAGACTCTGGTTATAACTACAGGCTACGATCGTACACTCAATAGGTGTCAACCGACACGTCTCACTAGATCCTTAATCGAAATTTACGCGAAAAGAAAACATATAAAGCACACTCCATGCCCAATGAACATATAAGTGAACAACTAAGGCTCACTAAGCATGTAAATCATTTCAAGGCTAGTAAAGAATGAGTTTATATAACCCGGGCCCAATAAATATATGTAAAAGGACAACTAAGGCCCATTTCACATGTATGATATTTACAAGCCCAATAAGCACGCAAAGAGTATCCAAGGTCTGTCGAGCATGTAAATAGACGATGAAGGCCCAATAAACATGTAAAGAGTATCCAAGACCTATCAAGCATATAAATGGGTCACTAAGGCCCAATAAACATGAGAATGACATAATTAGTCTGTTTGTTATTATTTTGCTAGTTTTAGCTCTATTATTTACCAAAATGACATAAAAGGCCCACTTTTGTAAGAATGACATTCTTGGCCCATTAAGCCGAAAATTTACAATTAAGGCCCATTTTTGGTAAAAATAACAGCTTAGACCCCTTTTAAGAACAAAACTTGCATTTAAGACCAGTTTTAGAGCTTTTAGCATGATAAAAATAATTTTCTTGTTTTTGACCTTTCTGTCCCTGTTTTTAGAAAAATTATAGAAAAATCATCGTAAGTCGAAATTTGGATCCGTAAACTCTGAGAGTTTATAAAATGAGTCTACTTTATTCATAATTTTTATTAATATTTTTAATGGCCTCAAACCAGTGTGAAAATGTTCATCTTCACAGACTGGTCCGAAATCATTCCTGAAATGATAGGCAGTTTTGTAAAAATCGCCAAAAATTGTAGAAAAATTGTATGAACGCGTGAGAGTAGTCATTTTAAAGGTATAAACCTGAACTTTTTGAAAATATTATAATTAAGGTGGTCAAAACATCCCGTAATTAGTCCAAAACGTTTATGTTAAAAGCTGATTTTTTAGTTTAGGTTATATATGTTTGAACACAACACTTGTTTTTGTTATTTTGAGTGTAAAATCTCAGATCTACAAGTTTACATGTAATATATAAGACAACACATACTTTTCTCATGGTTTTTATGAAGATCTAAGTGATAAACTTCATGTTCAAGTAAAAATCCAAAAGTTTAACACATAACACAACATATAACATGAAAAACACACATAATCATGCATATACACATAGATCTACACAAAAACAACTTGTATTCTCCCCCAAAACATAGTAAAAACCGAAACTAGGGGGTATGAACTCACTTTGCTTTGAAGATTTCGGTTTTTGATGAAGGTTAGAGGAGTTTTCGGCTTTACAAGCTCCCTTGAAGAGATTTTTCGAGATCTATGAAGTTCTAAGAGCATGGATCATGAAATGAAGTGTTAAGGAGTGAGGTTTATCATAAAATGAAGTTAATCATCAAGCTTAAAGAATAGCTTACCAAATGAATGGATTTTTGGATGAAGTGTTCTTGGATCAACACACACGAAATCTTGGAGGAAAGGAGAGGTTTCTTGAGTGTTAGAGAGGATTATTGTGTTTGACAAATGAGAGAGATGTGAGTGGTGTTGTGATTCTCGACCAAGACTAGAAGAAGAAGATGAGTGATTTGATGTTTCATGGAGATGTGGGATTACATGGTTATACGGTGGGTAATATGCCTAGATACCTATTAAATAATAATTAGGTGGCAACACCTTAATTATCATCTTGTTATTTTATTATTATTTTTTTTTTGAAGTTGGGCCGAGAATGAGGGAGAAGAAAAGAGAAGAGTAAAACTTTGGGCCATACTAGCTCATGTTTGACATTATGGGGCCCAAGTTTGAGAATTTTCGGCCCATTGGGCCCTTATGAGGGTTTACGGCCCAATTATAATAAGAAGATGGGTTTACGGCCCATCGTGGTTCAATAGAATGGTTCACGGCCCATCATGGCCCATGATAAATAAGTGAGTTATTTTAGGCCCAACATGGCCCAAATGCTATGGTTTGACGAATGTGAGTCCAATTAGAGTCCAAATGGGTTTCATTGGCCCAAAATCATCAAATGAAAGGTTCACGGGCCCATTAGGCCCAATAAGAGGATCCTAGTCCATACTAAATTTGAACCGGGATATTTAGGGTTTCAGACCTATAGTTAAATATATGAGATGCATTGTATTAGGTTATGAACTTCACTCGGGAGTATTGATTCAAATGGATGATTTTGATTGAGCATAGAGTATGATATCCACTTAGGGTACAAGTCTTATAATAGTTGATGTTTACATGAGGACAAAATTTCCTAGCTAAAAATGCTAGTTGTGACAGCAATACACTTTTTCAAATGAATTATTAAGAAGTTAAACTTCATCCTTACCTACT